GAAAGTAACTAGTATAGAGATGCAAGAACAATGAAATCCGAGACGATTATTCGATATTTCGCAAATTAAGTATTAGAGTAGGGTTTTTCTATTTTAACAAGTAACTGTGATGTTGTGCTAAATATAATTCCGTTTTCCTCATCTGTGTTCTGCTCGACAACAAGAGTAGTGGTAGGAGAGGGTAGGTATTACAGAAACGATCCAAGAAAATATAAATTATCGAAATGTGAAGATTACGTGGAGTTAATAAGCTGGGGATCTAGTTTAGGACAAAGAATGGATCCGCTTGCTCCAGTGCATTCAACGTTGAGTCGTGTCGTCGAAGTCACTAACCAATATGAAATGAGACGATATATACGTCTTGGATTTCGCTGCCGGCTACCATCCAACTCTGCTTGTAATCTCTAAACGTTGGTTACGATGATCTCGCAGGCCTTAACCAGACAATATACACCGATTTACCTGCCTCAGTCTAATCACAAAGGACTGCGTGAATTCGTCCCGTGTTTTAATTTGGTTGTCGCTAGCTTGCTTTCAGCCTACTTCTACACCAGACAACATAGCCCGTCGAGATAAGAGTTGGTTAGGCATAAGTAGCACAGTTCCCAACCACCTCTGTTGGTGAAGATTTACTATATAGTGACCTATTTTTATCAAGAGAACGCGATTGGTGTAATGGAAACAATTATTATTATAGCTAATTGTACCAGGGATTGTTTTACCGTACGTGTTTGTTTAACTCTACCAAAACACATACATCCTTCCGTTGATTGTGACTTTGCACGGACTTACGTTTCTCAGTAGTTCCATTTGTAATCCCTTGGCACGGTCTCGGTGTTCTTCCGATAACACGAGATCGCCAACAAATATATCTCGTTACAACCTTCAGTCGTCTTTTGATTTCCAGTTTACTCGGAGGTTTAGCCTGTTCTGGTATGCAATCTTGTTGTAGTGGTGATCATAGTCAGGCGTGACTCGACGCCACACGACAACTATCGATTCACCACCCTTATCTAGTACATTATTCTTAAGTTTAAGCAAACACTGCCTCTATGTCTTGGCTTAGTTTCTAGTAAGTAGTGTGTATATTGACAGGGATACAATGATTTGCCTAGAAACGTCCTGCATTTCTTGATTGGTGAGGATTTCCTCAGATCGAGTTCAGCGATTCAAAATCTACTCGCACTACAGACACACCTCTACTGGTGTCATATGAGGTTCTAGAGCAGAATGGGGAGCCTGTAGTTTATACTCACAGATGGTTAAGTAATAGCGAACAAGAGTATTCTCAGACACAGAGGCAGGCTCCAGCTGTGATTCGAACATTAAAAAGACTACATAAATACTTGATTGGTGTAAAAATTCACATTGTAACTGCCCACCGGCTTCTCACACTTATTTACCACCCAATTAGGTTGCTTTATCGGTTATCCGCCGACATAATCCGGAGATAGAATTGACTCTCTCTAGTTTCACCTTTCAACACCGAAGAGATGAAGGCATGCACTATGCCAATTTTCCGTCACACTATTCATATTTTAGAAGACCACTTAACGAAAATGATTGCATGTCGTTTCAGTACTGCTTGCTGATATGGCAGAACATGTATTGAGTACTAAAAAGAATTTTAGAATTGTGATAAGTGCGTTGGAAAGAGATTGAAACTATTGGTGCAAGCGTAGGTTTGCTGGGTTTTAAAAAGGAGAGAAGGCATGTCACTACGTCCTGAGAGATTTCTAAATTTCAAATTCAGAATAATAATTCCCGAAACACTTGTGTCTGGTGTAATGGACCAAATTTACTCCAGCCGTCTGAAAGCAGAGAAAATGTAATCACTTGTTCATCAGACATATTGGTGACTTGAGATTGATAATAATGTGTCAAAGACCGAAAAAATGACCAGCTTGTTTACACAAGTTGTCGTGCAGTTAGCCTACTAGGAATTATTGACTTGCATCTTACGAAAAGTGGCAACTTATTCATGTGGATTACTATGGCTCATCTTTGAACTCATACTGTTTCGTAAGTAATTACATGATATTATACTGCATACAAATCTGGAAGATGACACGATTGTAGTTCACCCACAGCGTTCGATTACGGAGAAAAGAGATCTCATATAACTGTATTCAACAAGTAACTTGCGAAGTCCAGAGGTTATGTTTAGGGAGTGTTGGCAATCGTAATGTTGAAATCTGGATATCTAGGTATAGAAATGTTATGTTAAAGGCAAGAGTCATGACGCCTCATGATGATAGCCGATTTCCCTCGGAAGTCACGAGGCTGATGTTCCCCTTGGAAACCAGAGCAACCATCAAGTTAGGTGCATGAAATGCTCGTAAAATGTGGGAGACCGGGAGAGTCATCTGAATTGCTGCAGAAATGAAAAGATACAACCTGAATATGCTTGAAATCAGTGAAACACATTGGACGCAAGTTGGACGAAAAATATTAGCTTCAGAGGAGCGGCTGTTGTACTCCAGCCGTGAAGAAAATGCTCTACACCCACAAGCAGTTGCACTGATGATGCAATATTGATTCAGCTGCCTCCTTTAACCATAAAATGTTAGGTCCGCACACGCAAATAAAACTTAAAGGAAGACGGTTTATATCATAGCTTAGCAATTCATGATAGAGATGAGTTCATCACCTTTAAACATATGGTGAGGGTGCCTGATCTCGCTAGAGAATGAAGTTTCCTTGCCCGGCTGATATACATTATCTGATTCAGATGGGTGTTTAGATACAACTATAAGTTCCCAACAAGTTCTTTTTACCCTTGGTTCTATTGTCTGTCTTCAGCTTCTTTTGTGAGCTTCAGTCTACTACTTCTGAAGATCGTGTTGTTGAAGGGTTCTGATCTGGATAAATTGGGACATAGACACTAGTAATCATCATAAACAACAGATAACTGACCGAGTGACATGGCTGATACTGTTGAAGCTCTTTTTAGATCATCGACTTTCCAAGCCATTAGAGAAAAGCAGGGACGGTGACAGTTGCTTGTAGATAGGAACATGACAACCAGAATGGAAACCAATTAACTTAAATTTTTAAATATTTATCGCCTTGTTCACCTCATCTTACAATCATTTTATCAACCAATCACTACTATTTTCATCAATGCTCGGATTTATAATATTATTCAGTACATCACCTGGCTGGTGTGTTTATGATTATTGCCAAGCATATATATCAGTGTTTTGCTCAAATTTTCACTTCTTAGTATTGCGTATTCATTATTCCATTAAGAGTTAAACATTGTGAGTATGCAGCATCAAGACAAATAAGCTGAAATGAGACTAAAGAGTTAAACAAAATGAATGTGCTGACCTTAGTTGTGTTGCTGAAATGATACATATAGTCTTAATATTGCAATAAGATTAGCTGTACTATTTTATTTAATCAACAAGTCTCTTAATTGACGTTTAAATTTTGACAATAAAAATTATTCAAATTTCAATACCGTCTAACAAATTGTGAAATAGTGCTACTTAGCGTAGATATAACTATATGAGCACAAATGAATGTTTACTGTTTGAGATTCGTAAGCAGCGCTTGATGAGGTAAAAAGGAATCGTCAGCTGTAACAAACGCCGCAATGTTCATAGCTTAAATGGGAATCCAAATTTCCGTGATGGATTATACGTTTTCCCTTTAGGTCCACCATGGGTTTGTCCGGTTTCGCATTGGATGTAGACTCTGTGTGATCAGGAATTTTCCCATTAGTATTAAAATTGACTTCCAGAATTGGGACAGACCCACCTGGTTCCTGGAGTTTCACATGATCAGCATGTTGGTTATGTGTACCAAGACCATTGATGTTTAGGATTTGAACTGTGGATTTTTTAGCATTCTTTTTCACTATCCCATTGGCCGGTCGAACATCATTTCCATGATAATTTGAAACATCTGTAGACTCCAAATACGTCATATTCTAACGGAGAGTCCTTCCTTTCAGTAACTTCGACAGGTTCCTTTTTGGTACATAATGTTTAGCGTTCCTGTAGTGCAAAAAATGTCCAGTTCTCCTTCCAGTCCAACAAATGTTGAAGCGGTAATGAATCTCATGATAGTTTTTAATATCCTGCCAAAATTTTCTCTTTGGTCATTAGAACAAGAGAGCCTGTGAGCAGTGAACAGATTCCTGCATACTATTCCATTCAGCCAGGTAGTGATTGTATCTGTGGCAAAATGAGAGCCATCATCAGTCAATGATACCACAAAACTTCTCTCTTAATGTGAGTCACAAAATGAGCAAAAGAACTATAGTCTATGTGATATCGTGGTAAATAACCAGTGTTAAAACTATCCATGTATCTTCCACTTCATCCAGTTATGCATAAAGAATTGAATTCCTTGCATTATTAGAATGAATGTATTTGGCACCACCAGGCAAAGTTTGAAATAAAACTTTAAGTTGACGCTAACCCCATTTGAGTTAAGACTTTAAAAAAGCACTTCTGAAGTCAAACTACCAGTAATGAAACGGAAATTCTACCACATTACTATAGCAGATTAAAAGTAACATAAAACATTTAGTTTCGCAATAACGGCGTGATTTATCTATGACTATGCTACACTAGACCTCAGTACGAATAAGTGTTGACTTAAAGATGGTAGATTTCATTATACCCATCTGACGAAGCTGAAATCTTTTCGAAATATCGGCATCTGTCCTACTGTTGTTGTTTATTGTGTATAACTCAGCGCTCTTGAGTGACTTATTTGAGAAAACAGTAGTTTAACTCTCGTTTAATTATATTCAGTCATAAAGGATGCTGTTTCATTGATAAATAGGCTAAAAAAGGGCAACCTAGAACCAATAAGTTGACAGATTTTACATTTTATCCTCATGGTTTATCTAAACCCTATTTATTCGGGTCATTAAAGCAGGATAGTCGTCAGTTCAGAAAATTGAATCACATACTTGTTTGAACTGTTCAACAAAGTAGTTTCTGAAAGGTCATTTACAAACAACGTCTTCATTTATCGCGTCGATGGCTTGCCAATCGGTTTTAATAGTTGCTGGGCGTATTGACCCAGACTCGAATCAAGAGAAGTTGTCGAAGCTTCTTTACGATGGTAAGTATTTCAAATTGAGAAAATGGTTGCAGTGAGAATGAATTTATGTATTTCTTATGCACCCAAGTATCAAATATATCTTAAACATGGGTGCATTTATATAAGTGTAGTGAAGTTGTGGAACGAAAAAATATCGCTTGAAACGTTACTGGAATCTTTGAACTCCAAACTTTATGCTGAAAACTAATACCAGAATAGCTGATACACTGACAGATCCTGTCCGTAATGGCCATTGAGTATTTTACAGAAAATCTACTAAACCTCATTTAACCTCATTGAATCTGTGTTGCCGCACTCTATTTTTATCGTTTATGTGTTGTATACCAATTTCGAGGAAAATTTTATTCGTTTTGAAGGAACGGCACAAAAAATCCAACATTTCTCCAGATTTGGGGAAATCCCTGAAACTTTGAGAAAGACCATTGGACTTTAAAAAACCCAAAAATTTCAGCAATATTCCTCTTATTTTCCTCAAAATAGGGAAATTTGTTAGATGAAGGATTGTCATGTAATTGTGAGTAGATAATACTTTTTCATTAGTTCACATAAAGCAACACATTTGTTAAGAGTTTTCCACTAACTGCGCGAGTATGATTTCGGTTCGGTGACAGTGTGTGTATATCGTGTTGTGTTGTTATAAGACACAACTAACTTTAAGGTATTACCAATATGTCGGTGGCATATTTCTAAAACCACTGATAGACACATTTCCAAACCTTTTAGAGTTGTAAAACATCTAAAATATTTATATACTATAGTGTAAAGTATCTAGTAGCTATTTTGTTGTTAACTTTTGAACACATAGGTAAAACGAAGCCGAATTTTGGATGTAAACGTTTGATCTTTCAAACTAGTTTTTACCACCAAAATTATTTCTGTGTCTTCCAGCAATCACTATTATTTGTTTGGTTTTTGTTTCATTTCCCGATGCCCAGATCTCGTGAAATTAACGACAGAACCCTAATTCAGGCGATTTTTGTGGCATGTCAATTCACCTTTATTTTAGAATGGTCTGCGAAACATGTCATCCTTTAACATCTAGGTTTCATCAGAAGCCAGCTCTTATTATTGCTTGATTGATCTAATATACACCAATGACTGAACGCGAAATTAATACCATTTCAGGAGTTGAAATCAAATATTTCTTTATTATTATATTTTGAAGTTTTTTTAATGTCTATGACACCATCATTCCAAAGATTTGTACCCATTCATTCAACTAGAAGTATCCTCATTGATTTCCTTTCTGTGGTCATTAGAGGGTTTTCTGTTATAGTTACCGTGATACATTTTATGATGCACACCTAATTTGACTATCACAAAACTCATCCTCTGTAGCGTTTAATTATTTATCTACAAACATAAGACATATTAATATAATTTATGATTGATAAAGAAACATGCTACAAATTGGTATTTTTATTGTCGAAAAAATTGTGATAAATGCTACACCATAAGATAGCATGGGTGGAGCACTGTGCACTTGAATCATTGATAACATCTCTTTTACACCCAATTTGAAGCACTACCTACTTTTTGCATCAGAGGGTGATTTTTTAACTGATTAAATCAAACTTTCATTTGTTAACAAGTCTTGTTCTAGTTATCTCAAACGCTTCCACATTCATTTTGACGGGAATTAGTAACATTAAGTTAGGCAGTGTTGACTAGATATTTTCACTTTGTAAGCGGTCTATCTGAAATGAGTCTCTACACTTTAGTATTCATTTAAGGCTTTGGGAATTTCCCTTTCAAGGTAATGACAAACATTATTTCCTGTCAAGATTACTATAGTATATTATTTGCATTAACTTCCGTCGTTCGGATACTGTATGTAAGAGAACTCTCAAATTTGAAGCTCTGTTTTTGAACTTGTTCACATAAACATATGGTATGCTAAACAATAAAGTCCTTGGATGTGCTAGCAGCCACTTAACCGCCTTGGTATGTTGCTGATGTTTTTATAAGTTGATGAGTCAAAAAACTCATCCATTGCAAGCTTTGTCAATCTTATAGATTATTTTAGAATACAAGGTGATGTTTTCGTTTATTGAGATAGTGAATTTCCAATAAATGGATTGGAAGACACAATGGAATCCCGACTCTCGTTGTCCATATTTCAGTTTTGCGTTGGTTTAAATTAAGAAGTAAGATGGGCTACAAGGCCATTGTGTTCTTGATAGATTCACCTAAAAAAGTTAGTGCGTGGTCCACGGTTTGTAGATTTAGACTTAAAACGATGCACATTTGTGCAAGATTCTTCGTTGTTTATGTCTTGATGAACAAAATGGTTTCAAAGTCAGCGTATAGTTCAGACTTCAGTACCCAACTGTGCTGTCACAGAGTTTTCTGTGGTTATGATATACTGTACTAGTTTATAGGTAGGCACGTGTCAGTTTGTTATGTGCTTTGCTGTTTTTACTGTCATCATGAGTAATAGTTCAAATCAATGCTCTGATCCTGGGTAAATAATTAATAGTAATCCTATGTTGAACACAATACATCTGAATATGCGGCTTTAGTGGTGTGACGTGGCTGATCAGTTGTTCAAGGTTTAGACATGGTATCAGCTCCAAGCCCATCCGATCTAATGATATTTGGGGACCGAGCTGGCACAAATAATCTTCACATGTGTGTGTTTTATAGTCAATAACACAAACCTCTACTGGTTTTATTGAGTATACAACTTAGCATTGATCGGATTTCTTAGTCCGTTTTCCTAAACACTAGGTTGACAAACCACTAAGTTTTTGTTGAGTTTTAATTGGCAAAAGTAGTGCCATTATTTCGTCGTTTCTTCTATATTTCCTGTTTTTGCTTTCTATAGGCTTGCTGGCTGCATTTGGTGAGGATCTGGACAAGTTAGATGCACAATTTTTAAATTGTTTAACCAAGCCTGTGAATGCAATTGATAGTAAAGAATGTGAGTTTTATGTATACCTTTATTGCGCCTGTCAATCAGTGATGTGTATCGCAGTCCTTTCTATTCATTTTATTATATTATTTTACATTCATCTTAATCTATTTATCTGTCAACTCTTAAATCGAAATAAATTTAAAAAAGATCTAATAATTGATAAAGTATTATCAAGTCTATTTGAAATTACTATTAAAATGTGAACCCATTCAGAGTTTGATGTAATAAGTCGACATTTTAACTAGATCTTCTAATGGGGTCTAATTTTGTGGCCGATAACAACTCGTAACAAAACCAACGAATGCATGCTGGTTATGTGGTGATTGGCATTATGTACGATTCTGTCCATTTAAGAAGCATAAATGTCAGGTGCGCAACAAACGTGGACATGAAGAAGGGCATTGGACACCAAGTCACTCGACAAGTCCCCAAATTAGAACACGGTTGAATAGGAAAGAGATTATATCCCAAATAACAAGGTTAGATGGAAGCAAGAATCAAGTAAGCGCAATAGGGAAAACGTTAGTATATTTATATTTTTTCACATGAGATTTCTAGAGTGTTCACTAAGTATTGGCTAATTCTTATCCAATCGGCGTGCACCAAAGCAATCGTACATTGAGCATGCTTTAATCTAGTCAGTGTCCCGCTAACAAATTGTGAAGTGATATTTCTCGAAATCATTATCAGTAGTTCACCTGTGCCCAAGTTTTATATGTTGTTCTAATCATTTCGTTATTGTGTTCAGTCCATTTAATCGTTTCATTATTCGAAGTTACTCTATGCTTGTAAAACTGCTTTTGATTATAGAGAACATCTATGATTTCCTAGAATTTGATGATTAATACTTTTGAACCATATCAAGGATGATACATAGAAGTGTTAAACGAGTTGACTAGGTTGTAAATATTCAACTAACGTGGTCGATATGTATGTTAGTCATATGAAATTACCATCTCTCTTCATATGCAATGCCGACCAATGTAATAGTTGGTTGAAAAAAGCAAGGATGGCCGATATAAATACACATCACCTAGGTTTCATGTTCAAACCCTGGCCCATCAACTGCAAAATATCAGCAGATCTTCTGCTAAACATACTGCTCGAAATCAGGCACAGGACTTTGTACGTTGTAAATAAGTTATATATCAGAAGGGGTTTTGTGGATATTATAGTAATTTTAATAGTTGAAACCATGAGTCAATTAAAGCAAGACCACCAAAGAAAACCTGGAAGCACTGGACGGTCGTTTCGTCCTATTGTGAGACTCCTTAGCAGTGCGCACCCACCATCCCGCCTCGCGAGATTCGTACCAGGACCTTCCAGTCTCGCGCGTGGGTGTTTAGGCACTGGATCATTGAGCCGGCATCCAATGGTGTTAATGTCTAACTCCAACGAATCCACGAAATTCAGCGACACATCCACCATTGTCTCCAGTGAGTTACTATCTTACAACAGACCCGGTTCAACTCCATTAATCAGTTTCTCACTAAAACTCCAGGAAATATCTCTCGAAGCCGGTTACTCGTGAATATTTGCTGAAGAGTCCCATGGTAGGACGAAATGGCCCTCCACTGCTTCCAGGTTTTCTATGGTGGTCTAGCTTTAATTGATTCATGATCTTAACTACTAAATTATATATGTTGGGAAAATTATTATTCCCTTCTTAGCGTACTGTAGAATACACTTGGCCTAAAATATATCATTCACTGAACTACTGAGAAATATCCTAAGTGTACTGAACTGAAAAAATTATTCCAAATCGATCTCACATATATCAACGTGTGTGTTCAGGCGTAAGAAATTTTTAAGTAAACGAGAAACAATCATTTAGACAGAACAAATGCGTTTTTTCCAGAGATGAGTCCTCTTTTCGATGAATTGATTATTAAGACTGTACAATCATAAATAAATACTTGTTTTCTATGGCAATCAATAATATGTTCATTAATAGTAACAGCGATTGATTGAACATAGTAACAGTGAAGTAAAATAAGCTGAAACACTAAAATGTGTTATTCTTCTCACGAAACTAAAAAAACTAGCTGTTAAGAGCTTGATTTTCCATAATCAATTTTAGAGTTTGTTAAGGATTAATTATTGTGAAAAAGGATTACGATGCATGCTAAGATAAAATGTTGAAATTGGAGCGAAATTCAATCAGGAAGGATAAAAGTGAATCGATACAGGGTAAAAGATCAATAGAGTAGAACAGATTAGGATAGGTATAAGAGCTGTATGTTAAGACAAAGAGTTTGGATAAGTTTGTTTTGTATAAAAATGTCTAGCTTCTTCAGAAGTTGGAATCTTATTGGTCTTAATAGATTTCTAATCACTTTCTAACTCACTTTGAACCATGAATTATGTTCATTGAATGGATTCATAATAAGTTCATTCATCGAAGTACCTGAGAACACGGGCACATCAATCAATTAATATACAATCGATTACTATTGTAAGAGACAGGATATATTAATGATTGTACAACTTCAAAATTAAGTTCACTGAAAAAAATATCCCAGTTTTAAACTATTCTTCCTTGTTATAGGATATTTGTTACTCTTTATTCTTTTAAAACATTATTTTTCTTTATCCATTATGTGTCATCCTTTGCTTTAATCAATTGTAAATATTTACAAGTACAAAGTCAAGATGATAATACCTAATCTTCTCCCTGTCTATAATTTGACAGGGTCATTGCATTCTACTAAATGACAATGTGAAGAATTACACTGTTATCTTTAATACTTATAGACATGTGTATGTGTATTTGTGTGTCTACTGAGTCATTACAATGCATAATATGTACATTAATGTTTATTTTTTGTAATGATGCATGGAATTATTCCTGTTCCTACTTCATGGTTTGACTGGTAATTCATTTTCATTCTATTTCTATTTCGAAATAGTTATTCAAAAATAAGGATGTAAAAAAATATCATTTATAGAGTCTGTATGAAAAGTGAATTATGTCTCTGTTTGCATGAGCATCTATTAATCATGGAACAAATTACTTTTAATCACAAAGATATGAGATAGTAGAATTTTTTTTATAATATTGACTAGTTTGGCAGTGTTTATCTTTCTCAGTGTTCTCTGTGTTTGTGTATATGCTGAGTAGGATGACTCAGTAATTGTAATATTTAATTTGACATGGTATGAGTCCGGAACCCTTTCTATTTAGTATTTTACGATAGTGAGCTAGTAGTTAAACCATCATCTGCCTTTTAATTATTATGTTGTAGGTATGTAATTATCTCCAGCTTCAGTTCAGGCAGCCTGTTTGTATCCCTAGGTTGTACTCAAAAGTGTGAATCCATGAATAGTACATGAACTTACACTTGATATGACTGAAATGCATTATACATATAAAAGTGTAATTGCCAGTTAAGGACAAGCAGTGACTTTATTAGAATTTTATAATAACTTTTTAGTATAATAATAAATATATTGTTGAGACGGATTACATAGTTATGTGTACATATTCCAAGTATTCAGCAATACCAAATTGTGCAGAGGTATTAGTATTGATGTTCAATATGATGATTTACACCTCATAAGGATATTGGTTTATTCAGGTAATCAATCTTAAATAGAATTCAGATTGTTTTCATATTTCATTATCAATAAATAATTACGATCAATAAAACTATTGAAATGTCCAGACTTGGAAGAAATCATTGAAAATTTCCCCATTTTAAATGATATATGAAGTGATATCAGTCTTTAAAAACGTTTTTGTCTTAAGATATCAGTAAAGCTCAACTTACTGATGATGTTTATTACGCTACTCAATAAACTACTATCACCTCTTCTCTTGATTTTATAATCATTAGATGACTGTTAAGCCATGTGTATGAAGTAAACGAGAAACTCATGTGGGGAAGATCAACGTATTGTTTATTGATAAATTACAGGGTATTTTAGTAAAATATGAAAACTATAGATGAAATATTTCATTTGCACATCTTCCATCCGTTGTCTCCTGCAAACTTCATTTCTATTGTTATTACATTTACTCTCTGTTTACATTCTTATTTTCTTTAATTCGATCTTCTCAACCTTCTGCTTCCAGACATTCCACTTGTGGTTGGTGTTACATACTACTTGTGTTTGTCAACACAAGTAGCATGTACAACATGTACATTATTTATTCTATGGGGAATTTATTCTATAAGAATATACATACCTTTGTTGTGTTGTTGTGAAACTTTTTTATTTCTTATTGAGCTGCTTTTTTATACAGTGGATTTTGTAAGCAGACTAATTTTTAACTCTGATCGATCATCGAACAGTAACCACTGTCAGACTTGTTTAGTCTTTACTGTTGATTAAACCAGTAGTTCAAGTGTTTAATGTAAGTTAGTGGTTACATATAAACAGAATGAAACTCGAGACCAAAGTTCATTTGAGTTATGATTCTTGGAAGCATCTGGCTTACTTCCCTGGTAGGGATGTGGATTACTTGATTCTATGTAAGAATATATGTGAATAACCCCATTCAATTCATTATTTTACTGAAGAATCAAAATCTGCAAGATATTTTTTATTATCACTTATGCTTTTTTCTTATTGTTCATTCATTAACCAATTGTTGTTAATGAAGTGTAATTACCAGGGGATAATTATAGAAAGATGATAATTGAATTTATTTAATTAGTTTAATCTTTTTTTTTTGTTATTGGTGAAATGAATCGTTAACTGTATTGTTTTGTATCATCAACCCCCATCAAAGAATATTTCAAGTAGTAAATAGTTGTGTTGATGTTTTTAACTTTAAATGATCCACGTTGTTAATGTTGTTGTTGTTGTTGTTATGATTTTACTTTGGTTAATCTCAGGAATTTATCGATATAATACATGTGATAATTCAGTATTGTAAAGTGTTGAAAAACTCTTTTAAAGTGTGTATAGTTAGTTGGTTTTTTTTGTTTGTTTATTTCTGTAACCTGTTAATAAATTAATCATTTATGGATAATATTTTTTTGTGCTATGAAATTCCATTT